AAAACACAGCAAATCAGATTCAAGATGTACAGCGAAATGCAAGAGAGAATTGAGTGGTGTATAAGGTGCGAGTTAGGCGGCGGATTGCGCGGTAAAGTCTGATAAAACGTCCCAGCGGAGATCCCCTCCGCAACGAGTGTCCTGGTCCGAAAGCATGAAGTCCGTATCCCAATCAGATAGAGCAAGGTAACTGACGTCAACAGATTTGGCCCGAGGGGCCCTTCTTGTTTGGGGCCGGTCCCACTGAGTCCCAAATGGTCCCAGTGGAGTCAGAACCGGGTCCCAACCAACAAGAGTTCCACAAAGACCTACTCCGTCCCTACTGAATTGAAAAACGAAATTTTGCCCCAGAAAGAACTTGTAGACTACCGCCGTTCAGAATGAAATAAACAAAGCAATGTAGAGAGATATCGCATGGCAAACAAGATACTCCATTCATTCACTCATCAGGTGAGTAGGCAGTTCACACACCTCACACACAATCAAGACTATGGAGGATGGAAGAAGAACCCAGAGAACCCCAACAGGCAGTCAACTCCATGCACACACACATGGGCACCCTGGTGGCACAGCACWTACCTGAGTGGYCGGGCTMTTGAGATGAAAGAACTCACCCCCCTCTCACATAGTCCTCCTGACCCAATTAGCATCCTCTACACTAGTGTCCTATCATCAAGGAGGGTCAACATCTACCCCAAAGTACAAAGTCCGATCCCCCGTCAATGTTGAAGATCAAAGCAGCAGCCTGCAGTCCGTAGGTGCAGATATGGCTGCCACCCTCAAGCTCGCCTACTTGAGGGGAGCCCTAAAGTCACTCCTCGTCGTCCTTGAAGTCCAGATTCAAGTTGTAGGTGCCCATCATTGTCGCCTCTCCCAAATTGCATCACGAAGTCGCACCTTGTGTCTCGCCACCACAAACATGCTCTCAAGCAACCTGGCCGGGTCTAGTGTCGACCCTACACGGCCCTGCCAGATGGGGGCAGCTTCCCTTTACCACGCTGCCCCACTTAACCCTAACTTCCAGCCCTAGCCCTAAGTGGTTAGCCCTTACCACTAGAGTTAGGGTTATAGCAGCCAAGTCAACTCTCGCCAACAAGTAGAATCCGCTCTGATACCAATGTTACGATCCTGGCCAATTTTGAAGTCCACAATCATCAGAAAGTACAATGTTGTCCAATTGCGAAAAGAAATGAATGAACTTGAGCCCAATGCCGTCCAATTGCAAAAGAAATGAAAGAACTTGAGAGGAGAGAGAGGGAAAGAAGAAGAAGAAGAAGTAAGAAAGAAGAAAGAGATGATGTACTCCAGCATAGACCAAAGACAAAGCTCTTCTTCTTCGCTCAACAACCACCTCCTCTTTATCTCCTCCTCTCTTATTCAAACAATAAATAAACAATAATAATGTTGAACAGCTGGACCAGAATCAATGTCCGAATCCCACTTCTACTGCAGGCACAAGATGAGGTCCACCATAGCCATGGCAGCCCTTCTTCTTCCTCCACATACAGGCCGAGGCTATGGCGGACAACTGAGGCTTCAGCCTCCGGTACCAAAGACAACCCCCAAGCAGCTATACCGCTGCCCACTTCAAGGTCATCACCCAGCAACTATGTCGCTGCCCACTCAACCGCCATGCCTGACTCTGTCCGAGCTTCCTTGATGCGGCACTACCCCCACTGGGGCCTTCCTGATGCAGCGCCTAGCAAGGAGATGAAGATGGTGTSTACCATAGCCAGTAAGTACCTCGCCACTCTCCTCCTTGGTCCCCTTCTCCCTCCTCCTCCTACCGGTAGAGCTCCACCATAGCCAAGGTGGAAGCTCCCGGCTTCTTCCTCCCAGCAGCGCTGCAGTGCCCAGCGCTACACCACCTAGCGCTCCAGCAGCGTGACGCCTAATTCGCACACTGAAGAATGAGGCCGGGCTCTTTGCCCTGCCTCTTGATATAGCGGCCTACTTGCCTCCTGGGCGGTGACTTCCGGACCGCTCGGCCTCTCCAAGCAACCGGTACCTCCTCCGTTTCGGAGGGAAACATCATTGCAGACCCTGATATTACCCGTACAGGCTCTAGACTCAGACTGGTTGGACTGGTACCGGCCTAGACCTACCCTACCGCTACTGGACTCTAAAAATGCCAACTCTGTCTTCTCCTGCTCGGCCTCCAGTACCCCCCTCACGCCAACTGCAGTGGGGTGCAGTATCGGCCTACCGGCCTACTTGCGTGTTTTCCGCTACCCCAAGGGCCTCAGGGCCGCTAGCTTCGCCACTTGAGTGTTTTTCCCTGCTACAACCCTCAATGCCACGGCCACAGGTAAGTACCGGCCCTACGGGCCTACCAAACAAGCAAGTACCCTTGTGGGTCACACACACACTCATACGACAAGCACTCAGTCAGGCACGCAGGTCACAAGCACTCACACACAGACAGACTTAGAAAACACAGCAGAATGCGGGAATCTCAGCAAGGCATCCATTCCATTGGCAGAACTTCAGAAATCAGCAGTGTTCTCAGTCTGTGTTTTGACGGGTCATTACACCTCTCTCGTTTTCATCTCTCACCATCTCCGACTTCCTCCGCACCCGGCGCAAATCCCCGCCAGGTTCACGCCTGTCGTTCCGCCCGCTGCTGCGCAACGCTGCCCGTTCAGCTCCGCTGCCCCGCTTTGACCAGCCCGAGGGAACTTCGGGAGTGATCGGCCACAGGCTGGTCCGATTAAGCTACCGCTTGTATAGCCCTCCGCCTGGTCCCTCTCGCTCCCTGTGCCAGCGCTCTGATACAACTCCTCTGCCTCAGCCAACCTGGCGCCATCCGAGGATTCTACCGGCTTTTCACCCCATGCCCCTTAGTCCAATGAACAGTCTGCACATGCCGACTCCGCCTCAACCCCTCCTCCCGCTCTACCCAGGCCGCTACCGCCTCAGGCTTCCAACATCCAGTTCCCACAGGGACAGCCGGTCACGACGCGGCCTGCCATAAAGCCCAATGCGGGCCTTGGTGGATTGGGCCCGATGCTGTTTTCTCGGCCGTAGTAGCACTTACTCAATGACAACTTTGAGGACGAAGGTGGATTCCCTCGCGGTCCGCAGCTTGCCACAGCGCCAATGTGGTCCCCCAACAGCTCCCCGGACCGCTTCCAGGCTACCGCGCTCGGGCATGATTCACCATCTTACAGGCCCCGACGGCACGCCCACACTCAAGTGTCTCACAGCACGTAGTGCCCGACGGCGGTGCGTCCACAGAAAGTCCCGGCTGCGCAGTTTCTTCCGCTTCGTGGGCTAATCACCCACCACTTCCACGCACATCGGGCTCCTTGGTCCGTGTTTCAAGACGGTGGAATAGATTAATTTTGCCAGCATCCCAAATACGTAGGGAATAGACAGACAGACAGACAGACAGATAGACAGAGAAGAAGAAGAAGAAAAAGAAGAAGAAGAAGAAGGAGATATGACGGCGGCGGCGGAGGAGGAGGAGATAGATATGGCAGGGGGAAGAAGAAGAAGGAGAAGAAGATATGGCAGAGGAGGAGGAGGAGGAGGAGATAGATATGGCAGGGGGAAGAAGAAGAAGAAGAAGATATGGCAAAGGAGGAGGAGGAGGAGATAGATATGGCGGGGGGAAGAAGAAGAAGAAGAAGAAGAAGAAGAAGAAGAAGAAGAAGAAGA